TAGAATTCTGTTATTTCAAATATGTGTGTATGCATGACTGGAGGTATACAGATGAGTTTTCTTTTATTCTCTTCTTTCTTCCCTCCCTCCTTCTTTACCTGTCTTTGTATCTTCCTCTCTTTCTTTCTTTAAGCCAACACATGTTACTTTGTGTAATGAGACAATAAAATCAAGAAAAGTCATTTAAGAGTAAAAATAATGAAATAGTGAAATGGGCCAAGTACACTTCCCAGGGATTGGGGACCGTGGGCCCTGGTGTCAGTTCCATCAAAATCGACCTGCCAGGCATCGCACTAAGCCCCTCATACCCATTCCACAATTTAATCCTCTTGGCCACCCTGCCTGTTACATGCTATCATCACTGTCAAACAGACAAGGAATCCAGGGCCCAGAGAGGTCAAGTCATGTGCCTCAGGGTGCCCAGCTGCCAAGGAGGCGGTTCCCAGCCAGGCCCACCCATCTGACTCAGGGCCTAAGGTCTAAAGCACATCATTTGAATTGTGGGCTCAGTACCATCAGCATCGCCCATGAGCGTGCTAGAAAACGCAGGATCTCAGGCCCCGGGCAACTCCACCACCGTCTGCACGGTGCGTGACAGGGTCCCCAGGTGGTTCACATGTGTGGTCAAGCCTGAGAAACCCTGGTCGAGCCACTCTGCTGTGTTGTGTCCCCCAGGTTTCCCCCGTCGCCTGCCTTTCCTCCTGCCTGGCCCCCATGCCTTCTCCCGCTTTGCTGGCATCTCACTCTCCAGACCTCTGCAGGGGAAGCCGGTAGAAGCGACCTCCAAACCACTCTCTTTAGTGACTACTTAGCAGCTCTGAGACAAAGGTTTGAAGAAAAAAAAAAAGATGTTTGAATCCATAGATCTGATTCGAGAATTATCTACGGCGTGTCTGTATCCATGTTATCCCTTTCCAAATAGTGGACTGTAAGGAGGATATTTTTGTTATGATTTAAAGAAAAATAAATACTGCAGGCTTCACAACCAGAGGCCCTTCTGATATGCTTAAATGTGGTTCAGGGCGCCCTGATTTAAGGGGCTAACGCTAGAACAGCAGAGGTAAATTATCCTGGCCTGTGGGTGTTTATATATGATGATGGAATGCAAACAAGCCTGGTTTGGCTCTGAAAGCAGAACCGGGGAAAACTTCATCTGGGTATTTAATTACACAGGGCAGAGTGGAAGCAGTCTTTTGTTTCCTGATTGGCCCACGCTTGGAAACCCATAGGTCTCTCTAAATCGGAAGGCATTACAGTGTATACGAAGCAACTGGAACATAACATTTAGCAGAAGTTTTCTGCATTTGTGGTTGTGTTCTTCACTGCCACGGCTGTTTGCACTGTGTAATTCACGTATGGAGTCGGATAACATGGTCAGGGCTCACGCCTGCGTGCAGGCCCTTGTATGCATGCGCGCGTGCACACACACACACACTTCCCTAGGGTTTACATGAGAAAACAAAATGACCAAGTCTGGTAATGTGGCAGTGAATTCCACCTAGGCCAAAGAAGGGCTGGAGTCTAGCGTTCCTCCCGTATGTGTGTATATAGGGGGTGCACAGCCAGAGAAAGTCAAGGTTCTGGGCCCCAGCTTCTGTTTTTGCCCATTTCATATGAAATATTAGGGCTTTCTCACTAGTGTTAGAGCCAAGGCAGAGACCTCGAAAGATAAATGATTTAATTCGGGCTGTCAGGTTCTGTTTGTTTGGAAGTAAGGACTCACGAGGAGAAAAGCACATTAATTGAAGTCTCAAGGTGGTAGTAGAGCACATTGTCTTTATTACTGCTTTCTGTGGAGGGGGATTGCTTTTTTTTTTTAAGTTTATTCGATCTCGTTCAGTTAACTTTCATCGAGTCAGTCCTGTGCTAGGTCAGAAAATCTGAGTGAATGAGACCAGTGCGAGGGTAACGGACTACAGACACATTCCTCTGGGCTCTTACAAAGGGATCCCCCCCGCTCCCCCAAAGGTGACGTCCAACATGACACCATGTTGAGAGGGTATTTGCTGGGGAGAAAGGTCGGAAAGGCATTCCAGGCAGATGGAACAACAGGAGCAAAGTGATGCCCACGCGGAGAATCTGATTCCCTGGATGGCAGTGTTGGCAGCACCCAGGCCGGGTGGGCCGGGAGCCCTGGGAAGAGGAGCAGAGGAGAAAGTCACTGGAGATGAGACTGGGGAGGGACACGGTATCCGGTTGTGAGGGCTCCTGTGGCTTCTTAGGCCTCACAGGATCAGAGAAAATCCTGAGAGACTTGGGGAGGGGGAGGATGGCTAGATTGGAGGAATTGGAAGGGGTCCTTTTAAGAACTGGGGCTTTGATCCAAAGAGCAGTGGAAGCCACTGAGGGGAAGCCATGGTTAGACTTGTACTTTGAAAGCTTATTCTGTCGGAATGGCAGATAGAGGACAAGAGTGGAGACCGAAAAACAGGCAGGGGGCTACTGTAAGGTCCTGGCGAGAGAGGAAAGTGGCTGGGCGGAGGGTGTAGAGGAAGAAATGGAGAAAAATGGGAAGTTTAAGGGAAGGAGATAGTAGATATGGGTGTTGAAGGGGAGGGAGGTGTCAAGGCTGTTCTTCACACAACATGGTCCAGACCTCTTCCTCTGCCTCCCGTAGACAACCACACTGTGCCACCATCTGTCCTCCGACGGCACCTGGGACTTACAGGTCTGGTCCAGGAGTGACTGGAAGAGCACGGGCTTCTGTGGACGCCTTACCGCTTGGCATTGAGATCCTGTACATTTTTTAGCAAGTCAGACAAACTAGCATGATAGATGATCAAATCTGCGTGCAGCCTTTATTACCTTCTCTCCCCCTAAACTCCTGGCATCTGCTCTATGGCAGGTACTGTGAATTTACTCCCTCAGTTTCCATTACAACACCTCCTCATTAACCTTTTGGTACTTGGGGGTCAGAAAGTAGAAAACTACATTTCCCAGACTCCTTTGCAGGTGAGGTCGTGCATGTGAAAGATACTTCCAAGTGTACACACCTTCTCCAGGCTGACAGGCAGAAGTGAGCAATGTTTGGTGGCTGCTTAGTGTAGGAGATCAGGTGTCCTGGCCAACGAGGTGGCACACAGCCTTCTTGTTCTTCCAGAACAGCGGGTGGTAGAGTTTTCTGATATCTAGTCCCTATTGTCATATAGCTTCTTTTTCTGGCTGCTTTGTTCCTATTAGTAGCATCCAAACCCAAGTCTCTGGCCACCCCCCCCCCAAGGAATGATATGAATTATGGCAGATTGTCTGCTTAAAGTATTGAAGTCAGTTCTGTTGCCTGCAAATAAGAACCTGCAATTAACTTCATTTGTTACTATATATTTTCTTTGTGGTTTTACACATAATGTTCCTTTTCTCTAAACAGATTATGAGCTCCTTCAAGACTACAGAGAGGTCATGTGTCCTCTGTAATGTCAACCACAGAGCTGCTGTGGATGATTGCCATTTTTGTCTGCTTGACAGCTAATCACCGTTCTTCTAGAAAGAGGAGATTACCAGATTGCGCCCTAGCTTTCCTCTGGGGAACTACATCTTCTCCAGTCTCAATTCATGTGCTTTGGTGGGGTGACTCCACCAAGAGAGCCAAGGATGGGCATGTGACTGAAGTCCAGTCAGTCAGAGCATGGCATCCCACTGGCTATCGTAATAGTGTAATGATGGGCACGTGACCCAGTCAGAGCCAATGATTTGAAATGGCAGGGTTTTGGGGGGAACTCTTGAGAAGAGAGGGACATCCGTTTCCTCTCTTTCTGTGAGGACCATTGATAAAAATGAAGAGGGCAGCCAGAAGCTGCTGGAGGCTCTTTGTGGGATTGAGGATGAGGTCAACCCAAAGGCAAGCACAACTGTGTTGTTGACGCAGGTTGAGCCCTGCATACACCCAGCCTTTCTAGAAGACAGCCCTGTTCTTGGTCCTTTCAGTTAGGTAAGCCAATAAAGTTTTTGGTTGGTTTTTGCTTCAGCCAGTGAAGTGGGGTTTTTGTCACTTACAACCAAGGGTTTTGACTACAACAGGAATTGTCCATAAGTAGCTCAAGATTGGCTTATCAAAAAACTGAAGATCTTAATTCCCCATCTTCTTTTTAAGCTTTCTCTCACTTCCACTCCAACCTTTCTTAAAGTGACCATCCTTAAGACATGGTTGCACTTTTAACGATTTGATGGAACAAACAATTCAAATAAAGCAGAGATGCACCCTGATCCATTATCCTCTTAAACACTTTGGCAGTGGCTTCTGGAAGGGAAGAAGTTCCAAGTGAGGGCCAGGCAATGAGAAGGGTGCTGTAACTCTGAGCTCTGTCCTGTGGTAGATGCTTCTTGCCACTGTAAAGCATGAGCTCAGACCATGGGCCTTAGCACCGAAATGAATTAGGGTTACTTGGTTTGAATATTACATTCACACTCATTAGAGGTGTGATCTTGGCAAAGTTACTTAACTTCTGTGAATTTAGCCCCAACTGGTTCACAGTTAAAGAAGGGTTTCTTGGCTTACACACTTGGGAAGTCTAGGGTGGTGTCCGGCTTCAGGTTGGGCTAGATCCAGTTGCAAAGATGTTAAGTCAGGAATCTGTGGTGCTTCTTTCCAGTGCTGGCTTTTCAGGCTGGCTTTCCTCTGGGCTGGCTTCATTCTCAAGCATTTGGGTTCATTCTCATGGGCATAACATGGAGCTGGGATGAGCTCCAGGCTTCCTATCCTCCCAGTTTTGCTCTCCTGGCAGAAAGAAGACACCTCTATAGCTCCCATAGTCCTATAGCCTCAGTGAAAATCTGAGCTAGTGCTCTTATCAGGTCAGCTTGGGTCACCTGCACATCCTTGGAGTGAGGGACTTAGATCACCATGATGGGGGGAGGGAATGTTTCTCGAAGGAAAAGCAGGGGGCTGTTATCAGAAGAGGGAACTGATGCTAACTGGCTAAAAACAACAGATGCCCCCTCTTACTCTCCTAGACTGTGTTCTCTTAGGAAAAAGTGGAAATGTTTCCACTTCAAAAGGTTTTTGTAGCTTTGTGCAGTGGCAGTATGGTAGCCAATGAGGTTTACCCGAGGCACGATTATTGCTAATTGAAATCTTTTCCCAATACCCCAATATCTAACTTGAAATATAGTTGGCATTGGCAATTTTTGACACTCTCTATGGAGACTGAATTTTAAAAAGGGGATGGAGAGTTTAGCTCAGTGGTAGAGCACATGCTTAGCATGCAGGAGGTCCTGGGTTCAATCCCCAGTACCTCCATTAAATAAATAAATAAATAAACCTAATTACCACCCCCCAATAAAACAAACAAACAAAAAAGGTTTTTGTAAAATGAAATGAGTGACTGTTTGGGAAGCAGATACCCTTGGTGCCTCACCCATATCCCCACAGCCCATACCATTTCCAAGTACGTGGCTCCAGATTCTTTTATCAGCCTCTGCATCCCTTTCTCTGGCTGCCAGACCCCCTAGGCCCCATACTTGCCACAGGTTGGATGTGCTTGGGAGTTAACAACACCTGGGAGCCGCCTTCAGCTGAGGAGTTGGAGGATCAATACCCCAGCCCCCTTGCCCCTCGAATGGGTCACTCTGAAGTGTGCCTTCTGCACTGCCTCCCAGAGGTTCCCAAGAAAGATTAAGCTCCAGTTGCCCATAGTAGCCCTTTAATGCTTCCTTCACTCCTTTTTTCACATCTCCTACTTCCCTACCTGTGTTTCCTAGGATCTCCTCCCAAATAAACAACTTGTATTTTGACGCACTTTCCTTTGGTCAGGGAAGCCCACTGTAAGACTGTCCTACGTTTAGCATCATGCCTGGCATATTATAAGCATTATGGAACAAACACGTTTGTTATTACTAATGTCATAGTTATTTTGAGGTTCATTTTCTGCTGTAGTTTGTTTTTGCACAAACTGCTGCATCCTTTCTGCCCCTGCCTTTCTGCACTTTTCACAAAATCTCTCTCTCATTATACAATCCGGCTGCCCTCTCAACTTTTTCTTGTCTCACCACTTCTTCTTAATTTTAATCTTTCCGCAGGGTAATTACAACTTTGATGAGAGGATGTACATTTTTAAATAATTACAAAGAAAATTGGCAACTAAAAACAGTTGGTAGACCAAACAACATGTCTTAAGATGGTAAACTTCTTGAAGGCAGGAATGATACTGGTTTCCACTGTGCCTGGAATTAACATATGTGTTTGTATTCAGAGGGCTTTTTTAAATAAGACAAATTAGCAGACTTTATTTTAATAAAGGAAAGAGACTGAGTGAAATCTACTTCCTCTGTACATTACATCTGCTTCCCATCTGCAGTTTTTGCCAAAACGATCATTTTTTATCCACATCCACAACAATTTGGCCTCTCGCATCTGCAGAACGGAGCAACCATTCACTAAATGATACCCTAGTGGTATGAGAGTGCTAATGCATCTCATTTATAAACAAGGAAAACACCCCAGCATCATCTGGGCTATTAACCAATTTCCAGTATGAAATTAATGCAAAACTTATTTCTTGGGGAGAAAGTGCTTACCAATAAAGATGAATTTTCTCGTTAATGGAAAACCATCCATTCAACAAATCACACATTTTCAGTGTGACAAATCGTGACTTGGCAGGATGACCGAGGAATGTATGCAGAAGACAGTTTGGTCTTTCTGGAGAGGACCAGTGTGTTTGGAAATCATATACTTTCTGTTTTGGGTTTCCATCTTCAAATTTCTGGATACTGCACAGCAGGGAGTTGGCGAGGTGGCTGGGGTGATCTTTTCTCAATGAGCCTGTGGCTCCCTCTGCCTCCCAAGGGGTCGTCTCCATCTGTTCTGGGCCCCAGTGGAGGTAGAGAGGGTGGCTTGTTTTTATGTTGTTGGGAACCAGCAAACAAACCTCTGTGTTACTGCGCTAAGGCCCAGAGTGCAACCCTACCGAGGAAGAGTTCTTTCAGGCTGGTCGGGCTACTCGGGAGAGGGACAGGCTGGGCAAAGAGGACGGCGTTTCAGCAGAAGTCTGTCCAGGTGGCCCTCCTTGGGCCTTCCTTGTTCAAAAGAGAACTGGAGACTTGAGGGCAGCCAAGCGTTTGTGGCTGGAGGCCAGACTTCATTTATACAAACGTTCCCCTCTTTGTTACTCAGAGGAGATTCTTTCCACCTGTCCCTGCCTCTCCCTCCCTGGATGTCTGGGCCTCCTCGGTGCACCCAGGGACCCATCTTCCTGTGTGTTTGGGGATGGAAAAGACTACTTTTTAAGGAAAGAGAAGTCATGAGCCAGAAATCTTTGGTTCAAGACCTAGTTCTGCCACTTACTAGCTGTGGGCAGGATAGGGACTCGAGAGTCTTTCCCTGAGCCTCAGTTTCTCCATCTATAAAACAAACAAACAAACAAAATAGCTTCCCAACAGGGCTCTCATGAAGAGTGATCCTATGAACATGCCATCAATTTTTAAATGACCACATCTCACAGATGTAGACCTAGCACCAATTTGGGCAGTTAGAAGGTGGAAACACTGGTGCTGTTCTGGGGGTGATGTGTGATATGGTCACATAAGAGCAGTGCTATGATGGGCTGAGATCTGGATGCAAGAGGTAGATGGGGGTCACAGAGCTTGGGTTCAATTCCCACTACTTTGTAGCTGAGTGGTCCTGGGCAGGTTATTTAGCATATCTGAGCCTATTTCCACATCTATGAAATGGGTTTCAAGAGTCCCCATTCTTCCAGGATTGTCATGAGGAGTAATTCTGTTCATGCAACAAATGGGAAAGGGGATCACAGAGACAAGATTTAACTTCTACTGGGGAGGAGGTGGAACCTGAGCTGAAGCTTGGGAAGCAGTAAGTGTCTGCAGGAACAGAATATAAACCTGAGCTAAAATATATATGAAAAGCACCTTAAAGACTAAATTTCTATAGTGCTCTGTACGAATATTATCTAAAGGATTTGATTTAGACAGGAAACCTAAGAAACCCCAGGCATTGGGCCTAATTCTATTTTCCAGCCCCTTTTACGTTTAGTATTTATTAGGCGTGAAACTGCAAGGGGTGAAAAGGGGGGACTGCATGAAGAATGTTCCCCTCTTTCTCCCAACCTGGAGAGCCAGGAGACAATAGAAGGAACGATGGAGGAGAAGCCCCTCTCTTCAGTACTGGTGAGATCAGCACTAATTTTGATAGCTGAATAGAATTTCTGTGGGTCTAATACTTCTTAAAAACTATTATATTTTTGAAGCCAGGTTAGTCAGCATTATTCAGGTCTGAAGTTAGTACATTAAATTTCATCTCTCAATGTTCTTTCTTTTTTTTTTAACTATCTTTTATTGATTTATAATCATTCAATGTTCTTTCTGACATTTTTTAGGGGAAAAAACCCAACTTCTCCCACTTTATTAAAATCTCCAGTGGCCAGTGTGGTTAGGGACCACTGACTCAAAACACCATTCTTCATAAACCCTGAGAAGAGGATGGTGATCTATTTTTAAAAAAAAAAAATATCATTTGACGTATCTTTGAAAAATAAGTCAATCTCAGAAAAAGAAAACAGGTATTTAGCCAGAAATACAATATGTTTTCTGAATCTCTACAAGGAGCAATGCTATTTGCAAGAAAACAGAAGCTGTCGTTCTAAAGAGATCCTTTTCTCTTGCTTTATTTCCCCTCTGAAATCATGAGCCGATGTTTGTGACGTCACTGGGTTGCTGTGGAAATGTTTATTTCACAGAGGATTTTGACCTCAAGTGGGGAATTTTAAAGAGTTAGTGTGGAGTCTTGGAAAAACACAATTGGTTTAAATAAAGGTGGGTAGCATTTGGAAAAAGGACTGAGAGAGGAAACAGTATAAATTGTCTATAACAGGTTGTTTCAAGTTTTCCTGGGAGGATTCAAATACTTGTAGGAGCACCTTACACCAAATATGCCGATTTTTATTTGAATTTTACTTACTATAAATATCTATAGAAAGTTGAGGGGAGCAGGTAAGGAATGGCTTTTTGCAGAAAAAAACTTTCATCTATTCGGTTATCAAAGCTGAGGGAAAGGTTTGGTCCTAAAATACCATTTTGGGGGGGAGGTATCCGTTTACAGTTTTATAATATACAGTTTTATAATATACAATAGACTTAAGAGAATAGCTCAGTTTAAAGAACTGTCACTCAAAGGGCCTGAGTTTCAGTGCAGAAGCTACAAAATCCTTCGTTTTAAACTGTTAAATCAACAGAATGCCAAACTAGAGCCTTTCTTCCTGCTGGGGCAGTATTGTCCCCTAAATCCACTTTCCAGTTCTCTCAGCCTAGCCTAGTTTGATGTAGCGTTGACTTAACTACAGCAACCGGCAAAAGGAAGTGGGTTTGCATTTGGGATGGGAGGAGGCGGCCACGGGTGTGTGTGTGTGTGTATGTGTGTCTGCGTGAGTGCGCGCGCGCGGAACGCGGGGCACCGGGAAAGAAAAAACATCGAGACGTAGAAACTGTGAAAAAAAATTTCCCCGTGGTTGAAAGAGAGGTCTCTGCAGACAAAAACAATTTTAGGAATTAAAAAAAATATTCTTCAAAGAGGGTGGGAGGAAGGCTGGCCAGGAAGGTGCGGAGCGTAAGCGGGGGACATGTGCGCCTCCGCCGGCATCTTTCCCCTTTCCTGGTTTGGGGCGACCCCCTCCCCACCCGCCCATCTACCCGCGGCCGCACCCGCGCCCCCTGCTGTCCCGGGGCCCGCACGGCCCCGCGGGGAGGGCTGTGGGGGGCCTGCAAAGGTCTGGCGGCGTGGGCTGATTTAGTGGCCGGGGCTGTAGTACAGGCTGTCCCCGGCAGCCGGCGGAGTCAGCGCGCCCACGTGACGGCCCCGGCTCTCCGGTGAGCTCCCTAAACAGACGCACACCCAGCCCCGCGCGCGCGCGCGCGCATACACACACACATACACACACACACACGCACGCACCCCCGCGCGCACACGCCCGCCCGCTCGCTCTGCCTCTGCGCCCTCCATCCCGGCTCGCTCATTCTCTCGCCCTCTCGCTTCCCCTGCGGTCTCTCGCTCTGCGCGCACACACC